AGTAGTAGTAGAAGTTATATAATAATAATAATAATAATAATAATAGGCTAATAAATAATTTTGGAACTGGAATAACTTGCAAACATTTGTTGTAGTTAAGTTTATGAAGTGTATATTGTAGCTCTAGCTATCTTTATTTTCAAATCCTAGCAATAGATTTCAGGGGCCCGTTCTTCGTACGTGGCTAACTCAGTCAGCTGGATTTGATTGTTGATGATTTGGCCTGATCTCGGATTGTTTGGTTCTTCGAAGCTCATCCTGGAGTTGCTGTCATAGCAACAGGTCCGTAAACTTAACCCTGCTCAGGAGCAGTTTATTTCATGTAAACAGGATTAGATTGCATCTTTTTAAGCAGAATTGATACTTAAAATCTGTCCTCTACCACCGCTACTTTATTACAAGAGTACCCTACTAATCCAGGGACAATAATTTAAAATAATAATCATTAAAAAATTAATTTAAAGATAATATAATAATGTTGTGTAGTCTTTAATACTATAGACACAGCCAGTTTTACTCACTGAGAGATTTATTCGTCATAAAATTATTACTTCATAATTGTATTGGAGTCTTACACACATGCTATACTGATAATGTAGAGTCCTGCATTAATCTGAGTGCTGACAGCTATTATGGGAGTGGCTTGATGGAACGCAGGAGATGCAGATAACATGATCTTGACCCTTAAGAAACTTTAATTAATGGTCACGTAACAAATCTGTTCAAATATAAAATTAAATGAATTGCTAATTACTACATTGAAATAAAAATGTAAAGCCTGTACAAATATTAGAAATCGTGAGTATAAATAATTGGGAGTCATGTAAAAACTAAAAATAAAATAAAAACAGTGCAAATTTCATTTATCTATTATAACATGTATGTAGTTTTGTTCGCTTGGCTGTTTCCTTATAAAAGTCCAGAAATTTGTCAAGTTTTTCGTCAGGTGTCTTTTTTAATTATAAGATGTCATTACGTTGCTGTCTTTCCGCCAGCCAATCGCTGCATTGCTGATCGTGGTTTCGATAAAAGTCCAGAAATGTGTCAAGTTTTTCGTCAGGTGACTTTTTTAATTATATGACGTCATTACGTTGCTGTCTTGCCGTCAGCCAAGAGCGTCAGAGGTGGAGCCTATCTGACGTCACAACGACACCACCGGAAGTAGAAGCGTCAGCTGACAGCAGGAGAAACACATCAGCCTCCAGCGATCAAAGGTACGCGTTTATCGATAAAATGTTCAATATATCGTGTTTTTAATCAAACAGACAGAGAGGAAATGTTCTTGAAGATGATGTAGGTTTTATTTAAAGGCTGTTTTTAGGCCGCATACGGCACCGGAGACCGAAAACAAACAAGTTTCTAGCGTATTCAGTTTCAATGTAGTTTAGTAATAAAGAGAATTATTAAATGTTTGCACATTTTAATACGTTTAGTCTATACCTATATATGTTTGCCGATGATTATCTGTCAATCATAGTAGTTTGTTGACAGACATTATGCATGTATCCAGATAAAGTACCATATTTTTACCACTATTTTAGACTTTTACCATGGTATAGCGTTACCAGCACTTTATCTCCTCGTTATCACTTTTACTTTTTATTTTTACTTACGTTTTGATCAAACTCGTGTCCTGTCTTATTTAATCCTTATGATGTTTTAGGTCATCGCTATATAATAATATATTATAATATATATATATATATAAGTACGTACACAATTTCAGATGGAAAACGAGTTTTCATTGCTCAGATATTCGGTCTTAACTATAAACTCAATTTTGTTCAATTTCTCAGAAAACAAGACTTAATATCTTCATTTTGCATCTCAAGTAATAATGTTTTAGGTCATCATCACTATATATATATATATATACTGCTGTTCAAAAGTTTGGGATCAGCAAGATAAAAAAACAGTTATATTGTAAAATATTATCATTTAAAATATGGTTTTCTATGTGAATACGTGTTAAACTGTAATGTATTTCTGTGATGCGCAGCTGTATTTTCAGCATCATTACTCCAGTCTTCAGTGTCACATGATCTTCAGAAATCATTCTAATATGCTGATTTATTATCAGTGCTGGAAGCAGTTTTGCTGCTTAATTTGTTTTTGTTTTTTTGGAACCTGTGATACTTTTTTTCAGGATTCTTTGATGAATAAAGTTAAAAAGAACAGCGTTTATTTAGAAATCTTTTCTAACAATATAAGTCTTTATTATCACTTTTTATCAATTTAACAGCTGCGTTTATTTAAAATAGAAATCTTTTCTAACAATATAAATCTTTAATAAAGACTCTTTATTATCACTTTTTATCAATTGAACACATCCTTGCTGAATAAAAGCATTCATTTCTTTTCAAAAAAGAAAAAAAAAAATTACTGACCCCAAACTTTTGAACAGTAGTGTATGCAAGAATGATTTCTGAAGATCATGTGACACTGAAGACTGGAGTAATGATGCTGAAAATACAGCTGCACATCACAGAAATAAATTACATTTTACATTATATTAAAACAGAAAACCATTATTTTAAATGGTAAAAATATTTCACAATATTGCTGTTTTTTCTGTATTTCTGATCAAATAAATGCAGCCTTGATGAGCAGAAGAGCCTTCTTTAAAAAA